AGCATAACGTACATTCTCAAAGGTACCTATAAAAAGGAGATATATGATCAGTTGTAGGGGACACGAAAGGCTATTGAAATATACATTGGTATCATTTGTTTTTCTTGATTATTATATTGCTACCCAGAATTATTTCCTTTTATTCATTTCCTTGATTATCAGTAACCCGAGTTCTTCTAAATTCTAGCTTTGACTAAAATTCCATTTTTTGGCTAAACACTCCCCCCTTTTCCTTCTCCTTCTTCTTTCTCCTTCCTCTCTTCTTCTCACAGATATGAAGCTTTGCTAGGAAAAACTGTACCAGTTGAAGATTCAAGGACGAATTAAATTGATTAGGTCGGCTAACAATGTGAACCAAGAAAATAGTAGTTCTCTATGCAAATGAAGTGTGAGCAGATCGAATTGCTTTCACGTAAGCCAGGTGCATGCTTCTGTCTATCTTCAAATTCTTCCCACTAACCAGATTCTGTAACTGAACAATCAAAAATAAGCATTCATCTTACATGCTGACTTGATATCAAAAACACCACCTACTCATTAAAGTATTCTTCTCTTGTTATATATACCAACTATATGATCACCATATGAAGTTGGAGTACTATAAATCCTGACTTAAAACAAAAATGTATAGTTGAGAGTGCTACTTAAAAATATCACTTAATACACATATTTGTGAAGTTTGGGATACTATAAAACCTAACTTAAGATAAAAATGTTTGAAATTGGGGTATATAAAGCCTAACTTAAGACAAAAATGTCTAAAGTTTGAGGTACTACAAAGTCTAAATTAAGACAAAAATATCTAAAGTTAGGATATTAAAAAGTATAACTTGTTGGACCAAGTGAAGTTTGTTTTGAAGTTTGACAAAGGAGCTCAAGCATGAACCAGGTCCATCTACAGTGTACACAGACACGGGCAGATTCAAGCATAAGGGATGCACGTGAGGAAGATAAGCTTAATTTGTTATATCTGATATCTCCCGATCGAAAAGGTTGCATAATGGATAAGGAAAAAGACTCCTTACTCAACGAGAACACTATCCAAGATAAGGGAGGAGTTAGAAGTTGAGGATAACTAGAACTCTTCCACAAAGGAAGAGTAGCATTAGAACTCTAGTTATTTTCTATTCTACTAACTCTATAAATTACAGGATGTTCTCGATTTACAGGCACGCACAAAAGCTGAAGTTAAACGTGAGTTGAGAGCAAAATAGCAAGGCATTTTGCAAGCAATTCTTGTGTGATTCAAATGTGCGAACCTGAAGGTATATGAACCAGAAAGAAGAACCAGTTCCAAGTGTCTGTCTTTTATTCTGGTTCAGTTATAGTAGGTATTTTAAATTTGTACCTTTCAGCTTTATCTAGAAGCAATTGTATTAGGTATTTTGAGTATTCAAGTTAGAGTTAACTTGAAGTTGTCGCAACAGTTAGAGGATGGTTGCCACAACGGGATTAGAGGTAATTCTTAGGTTTACAAAGAGTTTTTGTAAATGTTGTTTTGGCTCAGTATTTTAGTGAAGTGTTGGGGAAAATCCTACTGACTACTGAGTAGTAGGTCGTGATTTTTTCACCTTTTGAGCCGGGTGTTTTCCACGTAAAAATACCTTCCGCATTTATTATTTCCGCAATAGTTGTTTAAGGAAAAATAAAAGAACCAGGTCCTTCTATAATCTGTGCACGAGAAAATTGGATATCACACAAATCACCCCCTCTTGTGTGGCACTAAAGTATAAAACATCATACAAAAATATCTCAAGTTGGATACTACAAAGCCTAACTTAAGACAAAAATGTACTCCCTCCGTTCTAGTTTATGTGAACCTATTTCCTTTTTGGTTAGTTCAAAAAAGAATGACCCCTTTCTAAATTTGGAAACAATTTAGCTTTAACTTCGAATTCTACTCTTAATGAGAAGCTTTTATAACCACACAAATGCTCTGGACCTCTTTCTGACTAGTTTAGGATCACAAATTCTAAAAGTCTTCATTTTTTCTTAAATTTCGTGCCCAGTCAAAAAGGTTTACATAAATTAGAATGGAGGGAATATGATTGAAGTTTTTGAGACACACTTCAGAAAATTGTGTCTAAGGTTAGGCTTTAACAAGTCAAACTTCAAACGCATATATCTTTAAAGTGGATAAAAAAGAATTAAAAAAAAGGTTGAACTTTGTCTATAGCTTAAACACTATATGTGCACTTCCCCTGAATAACGGGTCTCTGGAAAAAAATCAGAAATATCCTGATTTTTAACTGCTATTTATTAATTAGCACATTTTTAAAAATAATTGAAATTTAATCACTTTTTCATGTAAAAATAAAATCTAAACAGAAACATCCTAAGAAATTTCGAAAAATTTTAGCATAATATTTTGGAGTTCGAATTTTTATATATGGGATTCTAGTATAATGTTCTAAAATTTCATAATATGCTAGAGTTCCAAAATAATATGCTGGAAGTAGGGGTGTACAAAGGAAACCGATAAACCGCACTAACCCGATAATCCGAGTCAAACCGAGAAAAAAACCGACTATGGTTTGGTTTGATTTGGTTTGGTGTTGGAAAAAAAAATCCGACCATAATTAGTTTGATTTGGTTTTGACTAAAGAAAGTCAAACCGAAACCAAACCAACCCGACATTACATATATAGAAATTTTAGATATATTTAATATATAAATATACTTATTGTGATGTAATTTATAAATATTTCTTAAACTTTTTCATAATTTTATCTTTTAAGATATTATTTCAATGTTGGATTTAGAACTTTTGAATGTTCCAATAAATTTTATAGCCATTAATATTAGTAACTTAAATAATGCTAACAAAAGTCCAAACCAAAATCAAATCAATACTAAAGCTAATAAAAGACATTCAATTCAATACTACAAACGGCAATGTATTGAATAGCTATTTTTTGTTTTACAATAATTTAGATAAAAATGCATAATCTATTTTTATTTTTTCTTTAGCGTTTAGTCATGTAATTAATACCCCCTTATTAGTCTACTTATTTTAGCATGACTTAGTACTTTTAGATTATGTCTTATTTATTATGGCTTTCTAATTAGCAATATTTATATTACATAACTTTGTTGTCTTTATTGTTGAATATTTTAGGATAATACCATAACACATCTCATATTTTGTATTATTTTCTTATAAAATACCTTATATAGTTGTATCTTACTACGATTAAAGAAGTATTTTGAGCACAAGTTATATGTTTTGTGCTACAAAGATTTTACCGAAAAAATCCGAAAAAACCCGAATAACTCGAAAACCCGAGTTTTATTAGTTTGGTTTGTTCTTTAGATTTAATAACACGACACAATTGATTAGGTGTGGTAATAGTAAAATCCAAACCAACCGACCTATGTACACCCCTAGCTGAAAGTTTATACGCAGAAGCTCCATAATCCAGCATATTATACTGGAACTTTCTGTATTTCAGCTAAGATATTTTGTCCTGATTTTATCTCTACATAAAATAACAATTGTTTTTCAATGACTTTGCAAATGCTAACTATTTTTTAATTGCCAATCCGAAAACTGGCTAGCACATGCTATTTAGACTGATCCTTGGAGAAAGAGCTAAATAGAACAGGGCTACTTTCATTAATAGCACACTATTAAAAATATAATACAAAAGATTAGCATTAATTAATGATTAACAAATATGGCAGTAAATATTTATACATATAGCAGATTTAATTCAATTCAAATCAGCAGGAATCAAGCTGTTTAAAAAGGTAGTCCTACTATTTAATATTTTTCCCTATTGTTTCTCTCCATTCCATAACATATTTTTTCCTTTCCATACATGGACTTTTTTATATAATGTAATGTAGCAAATTATACATCTTTATATTCTGATGAAATAAAATACATATATTTTATGAAAAAAATTATAACGTATGTTTGTGGTGTATACATTTTAAATTATATATTTTTTAGGAAAATCTATGTATATATGCATATGTTATTTATATACGTCTTTATATTTTAAATATATTTCATCAATCCATTCCATAATAAATTTTTTCCTTTTTATACATGGACCTTGTTATTCAACTTAATCCTAGCGAAATTATACATACATATATATGTGTGTGTGTGTGTGTGTGTGTGTATGTATATTCCAATGAAATAAAATACATATATCTCGTGAAAAAAATATAATGTATGTTTGTGATATATTATAAATCACGTATATATGCATATGTTATTTAGACACTTATTATATTTAAATAGATATTATTGATATGCCATTTATATTTTGCACTAAAATAACATGCATATTTGTATAAATTGTACGTATATAATAGTATATGTAACATATTTTTTTATTCTATATACATATTAGTGGCATGTTAATATTTTAGGTTAAATTTTATGTAAGGTATATGCTAGCAATATACTTTGAATAATATCAATATAATAATATATTAAGATGTATATGTATAAGTTATATATGTGGTATAAATGCAAATAAAAAAATATATATATGACATATAGATGAAATATTTACATTATATATTATCATTATATAATATACTTGAAATATATTAAAGGTATATTTTGAGTTAAAATAAAATTGTACAGAAAAAAGTTTAAAACTCAAAAAAGAAAAAAAAAATACTAAAATTCTCATTGTGCAAAGGGAATTATTTTTTAGATATTCTTCTTTCAGAATCTTTGATATGTTTGGGTAAGTATTATTTATGGAAGAGAAAAAAAAATTATGGAAGAGTGAGGAAAAGAAAATATAGTAATAAGTGCATTAATGTATAGGGATCCTTTAATGGAATTATCAACGTGAAAGTGCTAAAAAGGTAAAAAAAAAAATATGTTATTTTTGAAATAAACAAAGCACAACATCATTTATGAGAATAGTTTTTAAAAAGGACCAAGCATGTAAAAATCTCAATAGAACAACTACTGGCCCATTTGCAAATTCACCAGACAGCCCATTTTATTAAAGAATTTCAATCTCCTAAGTTCCAAAATTAATTTCGAACAGATCTAGTAGGGTTTTAGCGTATTAGGGGTTTTCCAAGAGAAGGGAAATATCCTGCTACCAAGACTCAAGTAGTCACTGAAATCCAGATAAGGTTCCAAAATATCCATAAAAAATTCCATATAGATGCATTTCCATTGAAATTGTCTCCATCTTTTTCTATGGCTGCAAAATTCTCCACTGGTCTAGACATCCATTGCAGTATACCTTACACCTCAGACACAAAGCTGCCTTATGGATTTTCATCAAGATTAGCCATCAAAAGATTGACTATTCTTTGCAATTCTACTTCCAAATCTCCAAAACCTCCACCAAATGTTGTAGATTCTCCAGGAAAAAACCCATCTCTTTCTGAACAGCTAAAGCCACTTTCCAACACCATTCTTGATGACCCACCCAACCAGGCAAGAATTCTTTCTAAGCCAAAGTCCACTTGGGTGAACCCCACCAGGCCTAAACCTTCTGTTCTATCTTTACAGCGTCAGAAGAGGTCTTCTTACTCTTACAATCCTCAAATTAGGGACCTTAAGAAATTTGCCAGGAGGCTGAGTGATTGCCACTTCTCTGATGATGGTTTCTTGGCTGTTCTTGAAGATATCCCACATCCACCCACTAGAGTTAATGCTTTGTTGGTGCTTAATAGCTTGAGACCTTGGCAAAAGACTCTTCTTTTTTTCAATTGGATCAAGACCCAGAATTTGTTTCCCCTTGAAACCATCTTTTATAATGTTGCTATGAAATCTCTGAGGTTTGGGAGGCAGTTTCAGAAGATAGAGGAACTTGCTTATGACATGATTGAAAGTGGGATTGACTTGGATAATATTACTTATTCTACTATTATCACTTGTGCCAAAAGGTGTAATCTTTTTGACAAGGCAGTGGAGTGGTTTGAAAGGATGTATAAGACTGGTTTGATGCCTGATGAAGTCACTTATTCTGCAGTTTTGGATGTGTATGCTCAGTTAGGGAAGGTTGAGGAGGTGATGAGCTTGTATGAGAGAGGTAGAGCTAGTGGGTGGACTCCTGACCCTGTTGCTTTTGCTGTGTTGGCTAAAGTGTTTGGTGCTGCTGGGGATTATGATGGTATTAGGTTTGTGTTGCAAGAAATGAAGTCACTCGAGGTGCAGCCTAATCTGGTTGTGTATAATACATTGTTAGAAGCAATGGGAAAGGCTGGGAAGCCTGGTTTGGCTAGGAGTCTGTTTGAGGAAATGGTGGAATCAGGGCTTCGCCCCGATGCCAAGACATTAACAGCACTGATCAAGATTTATGGAAAGGCAAGGTGGGCTAGAGATGCTTTGGAACTTTGGGAAAGAATGAAGTCTAATGGATGGCCTATGGACTTCATTTTGTACAATACATTGTTAAGTATGTGTGCTGATCTTGGGTTGGAGGAAGAGGCCGAGACGCTGTTTGATGATATGAGGAGATCGGAGCACTGTAGACTTGATAGTTGGAGCTATACAGCAATGCTTAACATATATGGAAGTGTAGGAAATGCAGAGAAAGCTATGGCTTTGTTTGAGGAAATGTCTAAAGTAGGGGTTGAGCTTAACGTTATGGGATGCACTTGTTTGGTTCAGTGCTTTGGAAGAGCAAAAAGAATTGATGATTTGGTTAAGGTGTTCGAAGCTTCAGTAGAGAGAGGAGTCAAGCCAGATGACAGACTTTGTGGTTGCTTGCTCTCGGTTGTGTCCTATTGCAAGGGCAACGATGCAGATAAAGTCCTTACTTGTCTGCAACAAGCTAACCCAAGATTGGCAGCCTTTGTCAAGCTGCTAGAAGATGAGAGCACCAGCTTTGACATTTTGAAAGAAGAGTTCCGGTCCATACTGAGCAATACATCAGATGATGCCAGAAGGCCCTTCTGTAATTGTCTAATTGATATATGCAGAAACAAAAATCGCTCAGAGAGAGCTCATGAGCTTCTGTACTTGGGAACCGTATATGGACTATACCCAGGTTTACATACTAAGACACCAGAGGAGTGGCGATTGAATGTCCGAGCACTATCAGTTGGTGCAGCTCATACTGCATTTGAAGAATGGATGGGAACACTGGCTAGAATTGTGCAAAGTCAAGAACCCTTGCCAGAAGTGTTATCGGCTAACACTGGAGCAGGGACTCACAAGTTCTCACAGGGTCTGGCAAATGCCTTTGCTTCTCATGTGGAGAAGCTATCTGCTCCCTTCAAACAGAGTGAAGAAAAGGCTGGTTTCTTCATTGCAACTCGCGAAGATGTAGTGTCATGGGTACAATCAAAGGCTGCTGCAACTGCATAGATCATATTTCACCTAGTTGTGATCAGTAATTAGGAATATGGGTTGTAATAAACTTGATTGATGTATGTTACGTAACTGAAACTACGCAGCCATTTGCATTTAGAAAGTATTGAACTTATATGCATAAAATATATCTGGTGTTCCTTTCCTGTTGCCGCATTTGTATGACGAATTTTACACAAGGGTATGAACAACAATTCTCTCTTCTTTCTGTAAACTGCATTGGTGGAAATCCACCTCCAAAATACAGATTCTCGCCTAAAGCTCTGTGACTAAGCCACCAACCTGATTACAAGCACTTTGGCTCTAAAAAGTAGAGATGAGGAGGGACACAAAAAAGAAAAGAAAGAACGAAATTGAATGAATGAAAGTACCCTCTATGCAAAATCTAAAAAGGAAATAAATGAAATGATCCTGTTTCTTTCTTTTTAGAAGAGCAGTCCCAACTACAGAAGTTCTACTTTCAGTGAAGTAAACGCCCACTGAGCCTTCCCCAATATCTAGCACTATGTTTGGCTGTTCGTCAAGAGGATAAGCAGACCACTGTGCTTATGTTGACTTCAAACGATCCGCAAAACGCCCAAAAAATCCAGCTTCGTGGCTGTTCCCAAGATCTCAACTCAAAAAGAACAAAATTGCAGCAGCACACTATACATGGATAACAATTCTGGCACAGATGCCAGCAGTAGTAAAAACTCAGAGGTATTTGCCTGACGACTTCCAAATTCTTCCTTCAAGAGATATCACCATAACAGTAACATCGTCATGGTACTTCCTGCGGTCTCCTTGAGGGATATCCAGCAATTCATGAAAATCCATTCCTGCAGACAAAAATTAAATCCACTTTGAGAACAGGTGTCTGGCTTGTCCTAAAAAGATTCATATAGACAGCCCAGCATATGATAACCATGATACCAAATTTGATTACACTTTTTTTTTATTGGTCCATATTTGAGTAGATTTACCCAACCACTAAGATCTATGCAAGGGCATGTAGAGAAAAGTAGTAAGTATGAAGCTGCCAAGAATGTTATCATGACAGATGGAGCCTAAGCATTTATTAGTCTTCATATTCCATAGCTTTTACGAAACTTAGATAAGCATGCCACTAATAGTATTCCAGAAACCCAAGAGTGCGCACAATTGATAAGTGAAAGATGAGCTTAGGCTTAAGAGTGGGGGCATATAACTAAGATCACAGCCACAGTAAGCCTGTGAAAATAGCTGCTAACTACCTTGTATCACTGCAATATATTAGAAACATGCATTCGGCATTGAAAGACGGCTTTCGGTATAGGCTTTTTGGTACTAGCTTGAGGAAGAGAAGGGATTTACTATATATAAGTAATGTTGTTAGGTAACGGCTTGCGCTAAAGGAACTGAGAGATGTCACGATCTTTAGTATTCCTGCTATCCCAAAGAGCAGGGAAGTAAAGGGGGAAAAAAGGTGAAAGGAAATTTCTCAAGTGTTGCATAGCTAACGGAAATCACATAAGGAAACATAGTACTCTAAACCTCTTAAGTTTACTGAGTGGGCCAAAGCCATTTGCAGCAGAAGACATGGTCATGGTGGCAAAGTGTTACCACCAAACTTAAGCATGAAATTAATAGAGGCAGGGCATAAACTAAGATCAAAGCCCTAATAAGCCCGTGAAATAGCTGCTACATACTTACAACACAACATATTTGAAACATGCATTCCTTTTTAACACAACAAATGCAGAGGTGAAGAGATTTCTAAGCTGTTGCATAGCAAACACAATCATAAAAGGCGATATAGTACTCAAGCTTCAAATATTTGAATACGGCCAGACCCATTGCAGCCAAAGGAAAGGAAGGATTTGACCATTACTGTAGTAATAACACATTCAAGCATATGGGTAATGGGTTGCTTGATGCCTTGTAATCACACTATCGGCTTTTCCAAAAATATTAGTTAGCTTTTTTTGGTAGTAAAAACAGGTGAAGCAAACACTTCCTGAAAACTCAAACAGAGTTTACAAGCACAGCTTTTGGGAAGCTTCTGACAGATGCCACCAAAAAACAGCACACAACTGCATAAGTTGCAGAATGCAAGTGCAAGGGAAAAGGGGAAGACGTTCAAGGCCTGAAATTGGTTTATTTCTAAATTTGGGATTACAGTTTCCTGGAACGTTAAGCAGAAGATGTGAGCTTGCTCTCATTTAAAAAAGAAAGAGCCTGGGCTTTTTCCACGGGGCAAGGACCATCACTAAGAATAAATAGCATCAGTGGAGGAAGACCCTTTTTTTCTTTTGTAGGAGACATCATCAATACTCGTCAAACCCAACCATCAAGGTGAGGTATGATTGGTTTGAGCAGACCTGCTCCATATAGCTCTATGATTTTTGTAAAATAGTTCAAAACAATATTTTAGAAAATACGGGAATTTTATAGGTAGCTAATTCCAAAACTAATCAGCACTGCAAATGATAAAAAGAAGCTTTTCAAACCTAGAGAATATTTTTTGCCATCGGTAAGTAGAAATTAAGCTATGGCACAAAGTTAGCCGCTGAATTAAAACTAAGCAATATTAGACATAATTTAATGTGACTGCCTACGTTATCCGAATGGTAGAATTTAGTTGTCTCCACCTAATAAAGTGAAACATCTAACAGATAACAGCAAGATGTGTAAGAGGACCAAAAGATCTGACAGATTTTGCAGATAAAATTTTCATGCAAGAGTTCAAGCTACTCAGCAATAAATAAACATCACAACCTCCATTGCATAGCGAGGCATAAATTACCAAAAAATGGAAGGTTACATTTTATCCTTAACTCCACAGGGAGAATGAACAGGAATATTACCAGCTTTCTTGGCTGCACGGAACAAAAGCTCCTCAATCAGGTGTTGAGCAGGATCCCCATCTGGAAATTTCTCCATGAAATTCTCAACAAGAGAGACCACCTCCTCATTGCTCAAGTATTGGTATAGGCCATCAGAGGAGAGAACCAAAAACTGATCACCTGGACAGAGTCTATGGTGACGCAACGAAGGTGTACAAGATATGTAAGGAGCATGGCCAATGTACACATTCCGAAACATTTCTAGCAATGCATCGTTGAATTTAGGCTGTACGAACATATAATCGAAAATATTATGGGGATTAGCAACAAAAATGTAAAAAAAATTATGTAGCTCAGAGTTATTCATCCCAAAAACCGAAAGCAAATATGATTCAAGTCTCTGCATGAAAAATGCAAAGATATGTATCACACAGCAGATAGGAAACATCAAAGTTGGCAGTAGCACAAGATGGCAATATGTCAAAGAGAGTATACTGTATGCTGTTCCAAAAGATATTATGTGCCTCCAAACTGTGAAATTTGATGTAGAGGAGATTTTGGGACTAAGCGCCAGGATGAAGAAAGAGAAATGAAATACCAACCTGTTTGAGGAAGCCTGCACCGAAAGCACGAGTGACCTTCAGACGACCTTTTACTCTATCATTAACAATGCAATTGCTGTCATCTGGGTGCTCACTCTTAATTCTAATAATTTCCTGATATTGTCAAAGGCAAAAAATCAGTTCAAGAAGCAAAGCTTGTTAAAGCATAAACAGAAAGATATATGCTATAAGCATAGCAGTAATATTATAGTAAAACAGCATCAGAAGATTAGTTTCACCGTTAATGTTCTAAAAACATAAAACTAACATAGCACAATGTCGAACATAAAACATCCACCTCATAGCAGGCGGGCAAAGGGGGAAGTCACCATACTAACTCTTAAATGTATGCAAGTCATATTAGGAGAGGTAGACTAATGAGCACAATTTGCAGAGTCTATAAAAGCATACCGTCCTGCTTCCTTATCTGCAACCCTTGTTTTTCCGCTTTTATTTTTAGATTACAGCCTGGCATATAATGCTCTATTTATTTTCTCCACAGGATAACCACGCAAGCCAACTTTCACGGGATTGCATCAACAAATCTATTCGTGTATAACAGAGGTTCTCTAAATTAAATTGCACAAACACATGCTGGTTCGCTTGAATAATGCAGACCTCTGGTTACTGGAGCAACATATCCCACTGCCTAGCTGGCAAGGTTTCTGCTAAGTCATCCAAAACTTCATTGTATTTGTTGTGGACCTAATTTAAATTAGTGGAAGAGCCCTTCTCCGAGGGGGGGGGGGGGGGGGAGGGGGGATGGATGAGATGCGCTTAAATCGAGTGATATGGATAGGTGAGGATTCATATAACCGACCTCAAATTGCTAGGAAATAGAGCATAGTTGTTCATGTTGTTGTTGTTGGAAGTGTCCCTTCTCTAACTGCTTAAACTTTTAGGCGAAGCGGTTAAGGCATCCAGTGATATTGCAAGAACCGGAGCCCGTTTTAAAAAGCGGGGGTACCAGCTTTTACCTGGGGCAGGGGGGCAAGTCTTCAGATGTGGAGAAAGCACCACTAATTTTCTACGCTTAAACCCAAAAGTTACACTTCCTCCATTCAAATTTATATGAAGGTATTTGACTGGTGCAAAGCTTATGATATTCATTTGACTTATCTAAAATATTAGTAGTACTAGAAGAAAAATAAGTAATGGTTAATAATTTAGTTTGATAGAGAAAGCATTGGATCAAAGTTATAATTTTGAATAATTTAATGGAAAATCTTGAAAGTACTGAAATTTGGATAAAAATTGAACAGTGCCAAACATTCAGGAACGTCCCAAATGAAAAGAATGTCATACAAAATTGAACCAGAGAGAGTAATAAGAGTAAACAAATCTGAACTATATTATCAATATATAGAATTGAAGAAAGTCTAAGGTAAACCACTTGTTCTTTTGTTTTCAAACATGGAAAGTCATTGCTGCTCATATTTTATCTTCTTCTTCACCTTATATTTTATTCTCTGTTGTCATTCACTCATTCTTCTTTTCCTTTCTTTTATTATTTTTACACTTGTACTTACCTTTAATTTTAATGGAAACTAATAAAATCCATATATGCAACGAGAGGCCCATAACCAAAGAGATCAATAAGGCGCTAACCAAGGAGACCACTACATTAAATCAACCAACTTGCAACCAAATACTATTACAAGAATTATTTATCTAACGTTAAACGTCAAAACATTTAACCAAGCATCATAAGTAACTGACTGA